ACTGCAAGTGAGCTGCAGCCCCTCTAGTGCAAGTTCAATCCTCAGCCCTGGAGGTGACCCACATGATGCAGCAGACCTCTCCTGCGGTGCCTGCTGCTTTCCTCAGCAGTGTACTTCATCACTCTGCCTGTGGTGCTCCCCACTCTGTCTCTGGTGAATGCTCTCACTGCCCCTGAACCTCTGGCTTGTACCCTACTTCTGTATGCATAAATAAATAAATCTTTAAAAATAATGACACTAGAGGCCCTCCCTGGTGGCGCAGCAGGTTAAAGCACAGCACTGAGAAGCTAAAGCCACTTCCGCATGAGTTCGATTCCCGCCTGCCCCAGAGGTGACCACATGGCGAGGCAGACCTCCCCTGACCGGCCCGCTGCTCCCCTCAGCAGTGTACTTCGTCGATCTGCCTGTTCTGCTCCCCGCTCTGCCTCTGGTGAAACCTCTCGCCACCCCTGAGCCTCTGGCCTGTACCCCAGTTCTGCATACACAAATAAATCTTTTTAAAAAATAATGACATTAGAAAGGACCAAAAATAGAGAATGAAGTTAGTGGTGCAAAATGGGACTTCTTTTTTTCAAATAATTAAAATTGTTCAATTAACTATATTCTTTTAAAGATTGATTTATTTATGAATATAAGAACTGGAGTACAAGCCAGAGGTGCAAGGGGTGAGAGAATTCATCAATGACAGAGTGGTGAATAGAACAGGCAGATTGATTGACATACCCTGCTGAGAGGAGCAGTGGATGGGACAAAAGAGGTCTGCACTACCAGAGAGGACCCTCAATTAACTTTGATAGGACCTTGTCATACTGTATGAAAACTGAACTGATGAGATTTCATACTCATATTGTACATAATGTGCCTCAAGCTTCATGTGCAATGCCACAGATCCCCAGAATACAATGTTAATGGATGGCAAAACTTACTTGGCAAAGAGAACAAAAAAGGAAAGATGTTATTTCATCCCCTTCACTAGAAAAAGCACCCAAACATGAAATGAAGCAAAACAAAATGGCGACATACCTTTCTAATTTTAGGACAAAGCATTTTCTGATAACCTCCTACCTCAGGGATCATCCAAGATTCTCCAGATATTTAACAACTGATTGGGGACAGTTTTATTTATTTTATTTTTTAAAAGATTTATTTATTTGTGCATAGAGAACTGGGGTACAGGCCAGAGGCTCAGGGGCGGTAGGTAAGAGGCTTCACCATAGACAGAGTGAGGAGCAGAACAGGCAGATTGAGGAAGTACACTGCTGAGGGGAGCAGCGGGTGGGCCAGGAGAGGTCTGCCTCTCCAAGGTGGGATCCCTCTGGGGCAGGCGGGAATCGAATTCATGCAGAAGTGGCTTCAGCTTCTCAGTGCTGTGCTTTAACCTGCTGCGCCACCAGGGAAGGCCCCAGTTTTATTTTTTTAACAATACTGTCCACTTAATGTAAGATATACCTTCTTAGAAAATTTTAAGTATACAATACAGTATTTTTAACACTATGCTGTATTTTAGCTCTCCAGAACCTACTTAGCTTGCATAACTTGCATAACTAAAACTTTGTACCCTTTGAACATTAATTCTTCATTTCCCCTTCTTAATCCCTGCAAGCACCATTCTACTCTCTGTTTCTAGGATTATGAGTGTTTTAGATTCCACACATAAATGAGATCATATAGTATTTGTCTGTGTCTGGTTCATTTCTCTTAGCTCCGTAGGTCCATCCATGTTGGCACATATAATAGGATTCTCTTCCTTTTTAAGGCTGGATAATACTCAGTTGTACCTATGTACCATACTTTCTTTAACCATTCACCCATCGATGGATACTAACATTATTTTTCATATCTAGGTTACTGTGAATAATTCTGTAATGAACAAGGGAATGCAGGTATATCTTTGAGACCTTGATTTCAATTTATGTGGACATACATCCAAATATGGGATTATTGGGTCATATAACAATTTTTTTAAGGAAACTCCATGCTTTCAGTAATAGTTGTACAATATACATTCTCATGAACAGTGAATCAGTGTTCTTTTTTCTCCACATCCTTATCAACATAGATATCTTGTTTTGTCTTTTCGTTATATAAATTATTCCATGTATTATAGGTTAGCAGTTTTTCAAGTGTTCCAATTCCTCCAGTCTTACCTTAGGTATTATCCAAGGGATCTGTCATCCTTTAGTCTTCCGGTGGCACTTTACTGCGATGGCAGAAGTGGCAAGTAGGTCCAACCTGTTTTCATACAGGAATCACAGTGCCAGAGCTGAACAGCTTACCTCTTCATCTTGCTATTGCCCCAAGAAGGTGCAAGTGCTTGGCATGCTGGGTGATTTCAATTTTCTTTGTCTTGTTCCAGAGGGAGGCACCCCGATGGGCCCTGTATTTACCAACAATTCACACCTTCTTGTTGTGTCTAACCATGTTTCCACAAACCAGGTCAAAGTCCAGAAAGCATCTTTTGGTTATTAATTATAGCCATCTCAGCATGTATGAAGTGGTATTTCATTGTAATTTTGAGTTGCATGTTTCTGATGATTAGTGGTGTTGAGTGCATTTTAATATTCCTGTTTACCTTTGGCATATCTTCTTTGGAGAAATGTCTATTCTATTCGGGATGCCCTTTAAATAGAATGATGTGAACTTTAAGAAAAACCTTAAAACATAGTACACTTAAGGCGTTAATTTGTAAAATATAATAGGAAGTCATATCTTTCAGGAATTGGCCATATTCATACTTAAATTCACAATCTTATTAATTTATTTCATCCCTACAATCTTAAATGATGTTTAGAAATAACTTACTACATTAGCTCAGAAGAATTAGTCAAATAAAACTTTGATAGGTGTTCCCCAAGAAGCTATATGAGAATTATAGTTATAACAACTTGAAAATTGTGCCGTCAAATCACTTATTAAACAAGCTTTCTACCAGGATTGCCCTGAACACAAGAGCTCAGAATTCTAGCCCCTGTATGTCTACATCCCCTATTTTACAATTTTTGTCCACATGTGTTACAAAGTCTGTATAATGTTATTTTACCCATAAGCTTTAAGTCAAAACTGGCCTAACCATCAAAAATTAAATTTTATTTTCTTTTTCATGATTCTTCTATTCCTTTTCCTTTTAAGTATTTATGTTTCTGTCTGCTTTTGATCTTAACTTCTGAAATGGGGTTTCATGGTGGGGGACTAAGTAGATTGATGAGAAGGGAATGGGGGGAACAAACCTAGAAGGACAAATATAAGAGGGTATGCTGCCAAATTGCTCAGGAGTGAAAGTTTCTGTCCTCCTTCCTCAAAACCATATACTGAAATCCTAATTCTCAATGTGATATTTGAAGACAGGCTTTGGAAAGTTACTAGTTTTAGACAAGGTCATGAGAGTGCACTTCCATGATGGGATTAGTACTCTCATAAGAAAAGGAAGAGACCAGAAAGGCTGGTCTCTCTATCATATGAAAATATAGCAAGAATGCAGCCAGGAAGCAAGCTCTCCTAAGACACCTAATGCACCAGCTTTTTAAAAAAGGTTGGAATTCACAACCTCAAAAAAAATAAATAAAATTAAATCAATGCTTTGTTGTTTAAGCTAAACTAAGTCTGATTTTTTTTCTGTTGTTATAGCAGGCTGAACTGACTAAGCACTAATGAAAAAGAATCTCTCTTCTACCCTTAAAAGCATTTCTTCTGTTCCTTTATGTAATCTTGTGAAAATGTTCTACATCAATTCTACTAAACTATAACCCTTCCCTAAGAAAGTTGTAGCACAAGAGGACTTGGTGTAATACAACTCATGCAGAACAAGAAGCAAATACCAACAGACCCCTCCGCAAGAGGAAGAAAACTGCAAAGGCATTTTTGTTGAGGGAGATAGGGGGATACCCACATTGTTCAAAGGATAAACAAGTCCGCACCCATTCTGTGCATCTTAGAGCCAGGTATACACAGAACATAGGGAGTGTGCTGCTCCTATTCCACAAACAGCTGCCAAACACTTTTTAAGCCAGTTTAACAGAATCTGTTCAAATTAAACCATGAATAAGCTCAACAAAATAATTATTTCCTACCAATCTGGTAAAGTCAACTACAGCAGCTTCAGTGGGGAAATCATAATCAACCTCTCTCCATTGTTTTAAGAACCCAGAGAATCATGATAAATAATGTAAACACAAGGAAAAACATATATGGGGCCTATCCCGTGCTACATTAATAACAAAACAAAACATACTGACTCTTCATTTGAGCAGGTAAGCTTGTCATTCCTATGCTGGGGTTCACAGGACTGTAAGGCCAGAGTACCTGAATTTTCCTGAGATCTGACCCTTATCAATAACTTTGCTATTTTATATGAAAACCAGAAAGGATCATATTTCTTAAGATCATCAGTAGAATGACAAGGCATACATTTTCTAAACAACACATGGTCCACTATTACAGAAACAGAAATATAAGAAAGCAGTGGTCTTCAGCTCTACCTTCCTCAGTGGATTGCAGGGTCCAAGTAAGGGATGAGCAGTGCCTGGCAAGTGAACTTTACAAGGTAAATCCGGCAGCTAAGTTGGGTTATTTTCAGCTGGATGCCTCCTGATTTTTAAATGCCGTTTTGGCTACTAACTCCTGCCTGGAGCTCCTGGCTCTCTGGCTTACAGCCTGAAACTAGGCTTCCTCTGGTGCCACCATGCCAACAGCTCCTCCCTGCACCCATGGCACAGCTGAAAATGCCCTCATCTCCCTCTACACAGGTGATCCTGCATGGACCTGGAAACTGGTCGCAGCTGACCAAACACTATATGGGATAGACTAAATGACACCATACAGCCTGATGGCCAGTAAATTTTATCTTATGCTCTCTACACTGCTTCAACTCCGGTTTAAGTCAACCCCTTTTGTTGCTCAGTGACAGCTTTTGGATGCTGTGCTACATTACAAATTTGAGGCTGCAGACTTAAAAACAAGAACATTCTACTTCCCTGAGTTTGTCCCATTTTACAAATGGATATTTATGGAAAATCAGTTTCTTTTTTAATAGCATATGACATTTATTGAAAATAACGAAAATACTGTCGTCCAGGAAGTGTTCACTTGGGGAGATTATAGCACATTCTGCTGACCCAAAAGCACAACACATAAGAAAATACTCCATATTCAGGAGAGAACTGGATTGTGGACAAAATAAGAGGTCCACAGGTGAAAGGGAGTGACCGGATTTGGCTGCCAGGCACCCCTGGGACCTGGCAGCCATGTGGCAGGAGCAGATGTTTCCCTCTGAGTAGAGAGAGTGCGGTCCAGCTGGAGGAGAAAGGCTGAGTGGGCCCCCCCAGGCAGGGGGCCAGCTGCTGGAGTCACCGTCCAGGGGCTGTGGCCAGCTCACAGAGCTCCTGGGGCAGTCCAGAGGGCTGAAGGCAGCAGCCTGTTGTGGGGGTGGGGAGGGGCCCCTGCAAGGTGGTGGTCTCTGAGCTGCAGTGCTGGTCTCTTGAGCACTCTGGTGCAGGCCTGGCAGTTAGACAGGGGCGCCCTGGCGGCGGCCAGGCCCCAGATGGTCCGCCCAGGGCACAGCAGGGGCCCCGATGGCAGCTGGAGCCCACCACAAAGTCCAGATGTGCACAGGAGGGGCCAGGCTGGACGCGGAGGGGCGGCGGGGGGCGGAGGCGGCGCGCCCCGCAGCCAGGCCCAGAGGCAGCTGCGGCAAGCTGGAGCAAGCTGGAGCGCAATTCTGGAACAAAGGCAAGCACGACGCGGGAGGGGACAGGAGCGCGGGGGTACAGCGCGGCGACTACAAGGTGTGGGAGCAGCGGGGAGGCGCGGCGGGAGGAAGCCTGTGGCGGTGCGGGCGGCGACTGCCCACCGCCCACTGGCCGCTGGAGACCGGCCCCTGGCCACCACCGGCGACCGGCGC